ACCACAGAACTTATTCTTCGCTAAACCCATATAAGATTTCACGATACTTGTAAAGGAAGGATGCCGGGCCTTCAGTTGTAAGCCGCGACTCAGTGGAGCCGTTTAACAATGTAAATGCTGTATATAAGAGAGTAACCACTACAGTGATTTCCTCCATGTGCACTCTGTCTTTCAAACATGATCGATCGGAAAGTACATGGTGCATAGTTAGATCGATGATGGTGTCTCAGTTCTCTCCTTAGCACTGGATCATTAGAAGTCCCAGGGGGGAGGAATCGAGACTCGTTCAGGAATTTCTTTACCCTGTCTGGGGGTTTCTTTTTCTCTTTGTCGCGTTTGGGGTGAGGGAGGAGTTCACTTCCGAAGAATTCTTTTTAGGAACTGGGATCCTCCCACCATGTTTGATGCCCTACCCTTTTAGCAAGGGATAAGGACTTGCTCAGAATGTACTTTAATTTATTCTCCAGTTTTACGTTTAATGAGGTCCTGTAGGTTCCCTTAACAGGGCGTGACATGGAGGGACGGCAGGAAAGGAGACAGGCAGGGAGAAATGAGTCCTCAGCAACACACTTCAATTCACAAACAACGCCATTGACACTTCGAAATAATTTTTTAAGGAGCGGATGCTGAGTCTGTTTATACGTAATTTATTCGCAGTTACTAGGCGACGAGCATTGCACAGGTTCAGAAAAAAGAATTTTTTAAAATATTAAAAACAAGAAGTAGTGATATCATTCCAATTCGATCTGAAAATGATTCTTCGAAAAGGCCTGGTCTGGTAGAATGATATTAAGACGGAATCCATCAGGAAATTGACTAATTTCACCTTTCAGTGGACAAAAACTTAGTACCAGAATAATTTAAACAGTACTGCACTCTTGTTTACATTTTTCAAGGGCTATAGATATAATTTTTCTGTAGCAACACCAAAGACTAATTCTCATGGGACCCCGAGAAAATAAATGTCAAATTTCACAAGAATTGTGAAAACACAGGTAAAATTCTGAAAATGTCATGTGAAAGATGATGTTTTGTGAAATTTGACATTCGTTTTCTCGGGCTCCCATAAGAAGTTTTCTTTGGTGTTATTACATCTTGAAAAGTTTAAAAAAGAATGCAATACGCTTTAAATTATTCTGGTACAAGGTTTTTTTTACATTGAGAATTAAAATTACTCAATTTCCTAGTGGATTCCGTCTTAAAATATTTGTAGACACAGGTATTTCTTTTGGTTATTTGGCTATTGAGGCTCTGGTGTGAAATAATGCTAATCTTGTACGATTATTCGCTAAGACTCTTTATTTTCAATTTTGCTGATGGTTTTAACCTCTTACACCAAAGAAGATGGTAATACTTGAAATGGGGTTTTACAGCATACATAACAATTGCTACAATCGTGGTCAAAAGATTACGAGTCTTTCAGTGCCAGAACCAATTTATTTAAGGGGCTGGGGGAGGTCCAAAGGAAATTGTCAAGACATCTATAACAAAAGCTATCTGATACCGCAAGATAAAACGGTCTGAACAAGTCATCAATTCTATATTAAACAAAGATCAAGACGCATTTCATTAACGCTTTAAACCACAGTCTTGTTGAATCGATAAACAAACAGGCAACAAGAAGAATATTACACTGTAATGTATGGACGCCAAAAAAAACGTAAAACGGCCATAAAACGTTTTGCACTAAAATTTGAAGTAGGGGGCTTAAATACGAAGAAAAGAAAGCAACTGCAAAACGGACAAAAACTGGAGTTTTTCGTGACAAACGAGAATTTCTATATTTTAGTAACTCATAGCTCTTGGCTTTCGTCGGTCCTCTTGTTAGAATAGAAATACAATCCGATTAAAACGCTATAATCAATGATAACCCACCGGATATAGTCAACTCGCCTAGCTACTGGAGTTACGTCGTAAAAATAATATCGAGCCTGTTGCCCTGCACGGCTACGTAGTCATTCCAGTCCACGTATGTTCCTTTAACACAATTTAATAATCAAAAAACTGGATATCCCTGAAGGAACGAAGAACAATCTCGCGGTTAACCTTGCTCCACAAAGCAATTCATGGTGATGGCGGCCTGGCCTTCCCAGACTATGTTACGAAGCGCAGAAGAAGACATTTAAGGAACTCTAGCCAAAACAAGTTTATTGAACTGCTGCCAAATACTGAGACTTATAAGAATAGTTATTTTTGTAGAACTGTCAAGGACTGGAATGCGTTGCCAAGCGAAATTGTTAACATCAAGTCCGCAGATCGTTTCAAAAAAGTCTTATTTGAGTATTTTAGTCAATGATGAATTTTAATATTGAATAATGATTGATGCTGTGAAATTAATTATTTCAATTATTATTATTATTATTATTATTATTATTATTATTATTATTATTATTATTATTTTATTATTATTTTTTTTTTATCCATTTTATCTTTTATATAATTTTTTTTCTTTTTTAACGTCATTACTTTTAATCTTATTCATTTTATTTAGGCGTCTTGCGTGATGGTAACCCCGTTGCAGGACTATAAATTTTTGAATAAATGTGAATAAAGGTGAAGGCTGTGTGGACCCTTACATAAGCGGAAGGTAACTGTAGCGTTCGGGTTAGATGGCTCACCCTCAGGCAAATTGGCCATAAAGAGCCTTTCCACACGACAACAGCAATGAATTTTTAAAAACTTTCGTTTTGTTTCAATAAAGGACTGAGCTAAGGAACCCACAGTACCTCTTTTTAATCACTTTTCAAAAGCTTACATTTGATATTTTTCGTGGACGCCGTTAACTAAGGCGAGTTATTTGTAGTCATGGTAATACTTGAATGCGCTTAGTAAAAGTCTGTTCAGGAAATAGATACTCTCTTGTGATGGAGTTGAGTTCTCCCAATGCAACTTGTGCATGGGTTCGAGTTACAATGTCTGTATCCACTGCCTCTACAAGCTTTAATAACTGGTAAACCTCTTTTAGTGTTGAACTGAGAACCTAAAAGGCAACAACAAAGAGTTAACCGTTTGAGTCCCTTTACAATTAAATCTAAAAGATACGTACAAGCCCAAGGCCGATTAGCGCTAACCTGAGGTTGAATTTTCATCCGCGTTTTTCTGGGGTAATTTTCTCTATACTTTTAAGATCATCCAATCATCATATTGTAGAAACAAAGAATTAAACTGAATTTGCTTTTTTACCTTTCAAATCTGAGTTCAAATTTCGCACTAACCCAGCTTTGAACAACCCAGCCCTAAGAAACTTTCAAGGGAATGATTAGTAAGAGGATCCTGTTACGGTTAATAAATCGTTGCTAATTTAAAGTTAATAGGGCTTCGTAACGCGTTCCGTCCTAAGAACGTCTGCGTGCAGGACGCTACGGACGGGGCGAGGTCGGGCGCTTAATCGAATACATACAGTAAATAAGTTGACAGACGGTGACGGTCACTAGCCTACCGTATTTACGGGAACTGCATCATATTTGCGAAAGCCGCTGCTAATGAAAACGTTAACCAAACTTTCAAGGAGCTAAATGTCACGCTATTTTCCATCTTTTTAAAAAGCTAAAGCGTGTCTTCGCATTAATTTTATTGAATTCCAGAACGCCGTCCTCCAAAGGGAACCCTTTAGTTATCATGGTTATTAGTGTTCTCTTCAAATAAGGAGAGCTAAAACTGACATAGCTGGCTCACCTCCATGATATTCTTTCCGAGACCTCTCAACAGCAAGGTTATAACAAGTACCGAAGCTCTCCTAACTTCAGCAGACTTGTCTGTTTTCAGAATTGCAGACACACAACTAAAAATCTAGAAGACAGTAGGAGAGATTTTTTCATGAGCGCATTGTTCTCATGATGAAGCGAGCAAACATTTTATCAGAATTTAGAAAGCTTGTTACAACAAATTGGGTATGTTATAAAGGCAAAGTAAGGTTAGAAAGTCCTTATTTTACGTCGGTAGTTCGAAATAGTCATCTATAGTCATCTAAATAACAAACCTGAGGCCGACGACGCGCCCTTTTTACAAAACAATTCTTGATATTGAAGCGATGATTTCGTTAAAAAACCGACTATTTGATGGAAACCACGCGACGGAATCGGCGTCGGCAGGTGCCCATAGAGAGCCTCTAACCTACTCCCATCAATAGCTTAGCTCAAACGCTGCACATACAAGCCACACGTAACACTTGATTCCTTGATTTTTTTTTTTTTCAAACAAGAGGGCACCACAACCAGAAAAAAAGAACTGATACATGATATGCGGCTATGTACTTATTCAACCCACAACGTTTTAATGGTAAATTACAAACCTCATTTACTACTGAACCCAGCGAGAACCTCAACAATTGACAGACATCACCCAGATTAGAAACACTGCTGGCCCGTACAAGAGGCTCGGGATCTTTCACACCGGTCAATAAGGCTGACAAAAGATGCTGGGAGTATCTAGGGACCAGCTCACCACAGTTTCTAGTCGCCTTGACAAGTGCTTCTCCCAACTTCATCCGGGACTCTGGAGATCTGGGAGGTCGGCTGGATACATGTGAAACTGAAAATAATCAGGAAATAGCACTCCTATTAGCGTGTTGTGTGAAGAGGCCAGCGATTATATGACATCTCAGGGAATCAGCTTACGAAAAGAATGTAGCTAAGACTTTTAACAAGCGACTTTGCTCGGCTTAAACAAATCTTCTTTCATTTAAAAGAAACAGTTCACCAGACAGTGTTTTCCAGCTGAAAAAATAACGAAAAAAATTTTCATAGGTGTCTACTTTCTTCGCTCTCCATCTATTGTTAACTTTTTTACAGGGAAATACGGTGTTTTATGGACAAAGAAATGACTCAGTTTGTTTGGCCCCCTATGTTCACACTATACCGGATAGCTTTTCGCGGTGCCGACATGAAACGCTATCCAGTATAGTGTAGTATGAACACCTATCCGATATGTGACATCACTCAACTTTAGAGATCAGCGCGGGGCAGCTTCGCTCCGTTACAGAAATCGCGCCAAAATCACCGTTCACCGTTCGTATGTGTGAACAGAATCCCTGTATCCGGTAAATGGTTTTCGCGCCGGCGCAAAAGTTATCCGGTATAGCGTGAACATAGCCTTAAGCTTCTCGAAACGAAGTGAATTAAAGGTAAAAAGGTAAAGGTGCACTCGAGCCAAAGGCCCAAACCGGGGCCGGAGCTTATCCCGGTTTCCTTAGCGTGAAGCATGCCTAGGAGTATTGCTACTCCCCCCTGGATGATATGCTAGTCCATCGCGGGGTTACCTTCCAGCAGTATGTCGCAGGTACCCATTTATACACATGGGTGAAGAGAGACAAAGTGGAGTAAAGTTCCTTGTCTAAGGAAAAATCGCGGCGGGCGAGACTTGAACCCCGGACCTCCACATCTGGAGTTTGAGATGTTACCCGTCGGCCACACACACTTCCACAAAATGAATTAAAGAACTACTAGAACTCAAACAAATGAAAATCCACAAGTTTTCCCATGCTTGACGAAACAAAATAAAAGACGCTCTCTGCAGAACACTATTACATAGTAGATTAAAAAAATAGTCATAACTAAAGATAAAACTGATACTGAATATAGTAACAGAAAACTAACCTTTACTGCCTGGTGAATAATAACCTTTCTCTTTTCCTTCTTTCACTTCAGCTGTCATATCCTTTCTACAAGTAGCGAACTCATGAGCGAGTCGTGGGATAACGGTATCAGCCCTGATATCCGCCAGTGAGACAAGTCCTTGTATGGCTGCCAGGTAGATATAAGAGTCATCGTGCGATAACTGTTCCAGACAAATCTTCAGCAGTGTATCGGCACTTTCCATGGCTTTGGGGTCCCTACGGCGCAAAAGTGAGGCTAGTTTTATCATGGCGTGACCTCGGACAGGAACAAGAGCATCACATAACTGGGCGAAGGCTTCATCGAATTCTGAACTGACGCTTTCATGAGATTGTTTTTCTGCTGAAAATACAAATTCCACAATTGAGATATGATTTTAGATATTGAAGATGGTTACATGTAGTTCAGCATGCTAATAAATGAAACAATACCTTCAAATGCTGCACTTTCCCTCTTAACTGTATCTTTTGGTTTTCCCAGAGTTTTTGCAGCATCATTCATTCTGTGGCTCCACACAGCACCATGTGTTGCTATGGTAATGCGTAGATCACTGGCCATGTCTTGTACCTCTACCGTCGGATGTTCTTCAGAAAGTTTCTCCAATAATGGCAGAAGATCCTCAAAAAGAGGCCTATCATCTCTTTTGATCTGAAATTAATCATCGAGAAAGCCGCATTTTCCTGTACTTCCAGAGCTCGAATTTAATTTTCTTTCAATAACATTACACTTTCTGATTTTATACATAATTTCATTTTACTATCTATTTATTATTATTATTATTACCATTATTATTATTATTTTTTTATTTTTTTATTTTTTGCACATTCACAGTGATGGGAAACCTTAATTCAATGTTCACTGGCAAAGATCTAGTTCAATACACTGGACCTGCACTAGAGGTTTTATAAGTTAACTTAATCTTTCTCGAAAGGAATAGAGTGTAAGCTTCTACCTAATTTATGGTTTGTGCAGGCCAAAATTGTGACAAGATCATTGAGCTCTAACTGAATGCATCAACAAGATCTACATGTAAGAGTACCTCAGCTGCCCCACCCAACAGAGCTGATAGCATCCCTAAGGACATAGTCAGTGTCTCTGTAAGGAATTCAGTAGCCAGTCCCTCCTCATCTGCTTCAAGAACAGTGCAAACACGCTTCAGTGTGGATTGTATGAAAGCCAGCATCTGTGAAGTGTTCTTCAGAATAGAAGGTCCCAGTTTCTCACACATCAAAGCAACAAGATGGAGGATCAAGAGACTCTGCTGAGTGCCTGCAAAAAGCCAATTATTTATTAAAAAATGAATCATGGAAAGCTATGTGTAATATTTCTGAGCTAAGGATTTGTGGTCGTAATTTTTTATCAAATAACTCGAGCTCAACACAGGGTATGTGGAAACACCTAGTGCCACCCCCCTGGCGGCCACCCTTCTAACAATCAGAAAAATATGATGGCATAGAGAAAGTTACATCATATATTAAATACGTGTAAAGAAAAACAGCAGAGTAACTTAATGAAAGAACTTCTTCTCCCTTCATAAGATATTCATGCCATCACCAGAAACACTTATTACTTGAAAAGTGATTATGGCCTGATCCTTGTATGAATGCCACCTGGTAAAAGAACCATAATTATAGCAAACTGGCAATTTAGGACTGGGGTGAAACAAAATTTGTGCACTGTATGAAATTCTTGAAGCTCATTGGCTGATTAGAGTGTGTTACTGGCCTACAGTACACAGTGCATTTTTAATGACTTTTCATCCTGCACTTGGCTACCCATCGTACATACATGCATTATTACCACCAAAATATTTCACACTTTTATCTTAAGGATTTCATTCAAAATAAAGATATAGATAAAAAATTTTTATCTATATACATGTACATGTAACACTAAAACTATACACATGATTTTAAAGTGCTGAAAAATAAACTGACAAACATGAAAACATAACAAATAGTACACCCAAAGAAAAAAAAAATCGCAATCATTTGACAACCAAATACTGTGCAAAAAATGATTCATTGCGCGAATGCCAAACAAAATAAAAAAGTCTTCAGAGCCTGCCAAAAAACCTTGAACATTCTGGATACTTCTGATAGCTACAGAGACAGCCAAAAAAAGTGAAGGAGTTTTTTCAAATCGGGCCAAAATCTATACAAAATTATTTTGTCACCTAAAAATGTTTCAAACAAAGGTTTGTTTCTATGAGTAGAATGCCAAAGTTGACTGTGTACATCACAACGTAAGTCTACATAATAGAAACTAATCATTATTATGGACTCAAAGGGTAGAAATTATCGGATTCAACAGTATGCATAAGTTACGTTAGACACCGTTGACAAAAATTTATGAATCTGCCTCTGAATCTCTAAACCCTAACACAAGTTGCAAATCATCAGTACCATGCACACTTGAGAAAAAACCTTACCTTGTGTCTCCATATCCCCAGAGAAATTTGCTATGAGAGTTGTTAATTCTTGCACCAAATATAAAAAGAAGTCTCCGGCAAGACTGTCCTTCTTCAGTGCACTCAAAAGTTCCACAATGCACAGTGCTCGCACCTCACTGTGACTCAGTTCATCACCTTGTAAAGGGTTTAAGACGCCATCAGCAGTTCTACTTTCGTCATCATTATTATTTTTATATTTGATTATCACTCCACCATTATCTCCATGAGCAAATACAAAATGGTCACTCATAAGATTTACAGAAATATCTTCTTTGTCATTCTTCATGTTATTTGGGTCAAAATCAAGAGAAGATTTTGTTACTATGAAGTTCTGCAGTTGGTTCTGCTTGAAAGCCAAAGTATACAACATTGTAAGGGCTGTACATGACTCAGCATGTTTTAACATGTGGACCAATATTTCTCGAAGTGCAGACCTGAAATAAAAGAGAAGGCTGAGAAATGGTCCATTGTTTTCCTAATAATATGAAAGACAAACTCAAAGAATTATTTAGCCTGCAATACAGGCAGTTATTGAGAGGCAAAGAAAATTGCTTGTTTATGTTTGTAATGCCATGGCCATGCACCATCTTAATATAAATAAATTACAACCCTTGGGGTTGATTACGGCAAAAGAATGAGGCAGGGGAGGGGAAGGGGAGAAAAAAAAATACACCTTCCCAATCTCATTGTTTATTTGCAAACTCTGTAACTTGGCAAACAGAGCATCTGATTAGTAGAGTACAGTACTAATGAATTAACGCCTGGTAGTCAATTGTAAGTTAATGGAACTCTTTTGCTACAGCAGCAATGTATTTTTTCATTTTGCTGTTGAGAACATCTCTCATCTCAGCTGGATGTGGTTCATAAATCATGGGCTTAAGAGGGTAGCAAAGTATCTTTCTACACTCTCATCAAGAAATCTTCTAACAGTCCACCTAACTGGCTTTGGAAAGAGCCTAATTTTTTACCTTCTTGTTTATGTAGGGGACATTTTGACGAAGCTTCACAGATGTTGTCACCAATGAAGTGATAGTTTATAGCGGAGGGGCATTTCCTCCTCTAAAAGCTATCATGGTTAAAGTAAAATTTTAGGCACACACAATTTGGAGACATTGAAACCTTCATGGTTAGGTCAAAATTAGCTGCACAAGAATTAAAAGTGATTCATGAGAAACAAATTCTACAATGACAAAAAGAAAATAATGCAATGTGATTCTGTTAATCTACTGCAATGGCAGAAAACTGGGACAAAACAAAGATCAAGGATAAAACTAACTATGTCATAAATCTACACATAAAAAGGCAAGACACATTACATTTACAACAGTAGCTATCTTTCAAACTCTGTCAGAGCCGAGATGGAAACTATTTAGTAATTTTGTTAGCATTTTGATTTTGGACTGCCTTCCAGAATATAACTATTATTAATAAGGCAGGCCAGTCAAAATGTTTTACAGCTGTATGCAGGATAACCACAGAAACAGGCAGCAAAGACCTAAATTTGTGTGGTTGTTTTTTGACACTGTCAAACCCTGTTAATAGGGACACTGAGGGAGCCATAGAAAGGGTCTTTATTAAAAGGGTGTCTGTAATAAGCAGGTTGAATTTAGAGAAAATATAAGGGCTTTCTTTCCCCAAGGGGCAAAGCAAACTGTCCATAATTATATGAGGTGTCCGCATTAAGTGGGTGTCCGTTAAGTGTATTACTAAACCTAAGTGTTGATTAGATGGCAAATATTTCACTTAAAGCTGCAAAATTGCTTGCTGATGCCACATTTTGACTGGGCTGATAAGGGGGTTTTCTCATTTTCACAGTGTTTTCAGGTAGGCTTTCTCTTTCTCTCCCATCTCTTCTCTATACTTGCCCTCCTTATGGATAGCTATTTTTAATAGTCTCTTTAAAATCCCTTTACACAATTAAATAATTATTTAACAAAATTCAACAAAAAATTTCAAGTAAAGCAAATCTTGCTGTGCTTACCTAAGATGAGACACACCTCTTCTTGTGAAACAAAAGAGCTCAAAAACAGGATGAACAATTGCTGACAGAAACTTTAAACCACTGAAGTGTGATCCAACAACAAAAACCTAACAGATGAAGAACTTTATTTTAGAAAAACTTAAGTGGACGGACTAATTGACAGCTAAAACTTTCCAAACCAAACTTGCAGAACCTCTGTCCTTATGCCTCTTGGGCAAGGTCATCACTTCTCAAAGGAAAATGATACTGATGCACAATCTGTGCAGGATATATGAAGAGGTCCTCCAAAGCAAGCCCAAGGGAGAGGAAGGTTCAGTCAAACAAATCACAGGTTCAGACAAAATAACGATACCATGCAAGAAATATCATACAATGTTTTGGATACCAAAACAACAGGATTAAGCTCACAACTCAAACTTTGGATTTTGTCTAGTACCTTGTGAATATCTTCAACACATCTCATTACGGCAAATTCATCAACAAACAGAACTGAAACATCCCCTAAGTATAGAAAAAAAGTAGTTCAAACCAATCGCACTTTAAGGAAAAGGCTGTTTGAATTTGTCGCTGTTAATAATAGACTAGCCTCCCACGCAGACATTCTTAGGGGTTATCACACATCCCTGTTCTTTGGCCATTTGCTTTTGTTTAAAGAAACCAATCAGCATTGACTGATCGTGAAGTGTAAAGCCGATCACATGCTCTAAAGGAAGAGAAATCAACACCTGTGGTTCACCCGTGAAGTAATTTTCGCGATAACTTCTCACCAAAATATCCATCATATTCCATGTTCTCATTCAGCTCTTAAGAAGGTTATTCAGAAAGATTTCTTTGTGCTTCTATCTTGGGGAAAGACAGGGTTTGATTTTGGATTCAGTGCTATCGATATTAAAGGCATAATGAAAAGAGTGATTGATGAGCAATCTTTTCATCTGCAGGGCTCAAGGATTGCACATGTTTTCGTCCAATGAGTACAAACTGTACCAAGCCAATTTTTGCCCACTACAAAAAAGATGCAGCAACAAACAAATAACCCACCTATCATACATTTCATAAGACTAGTGCAAAAAGTCTGAATAGGAATACAATTTCACAAATTGTTCAAAAATGCACATTCCCAGTCCATTCTAATAAGACTTTAAGGCTTGAACTGTTTGCTTCACCAACTTCTCTACATTTTTCAGTTTACTTGTCTTAAATTGATAGTCAATTATTGCATAAAACATAGAGCACTTTATGTAAAATAACCTTCAAATTCTCTGATAATTCAAGGAATTTTTAAGGACTTCCTCTAAAATTCAAGGACTTTTCAAGACTGTGCAAACCCTGTAATAGAGGCGGTAAGAATTCCAAGATTTACCTGCTTGTGGACCTGGTCTTTGATACAATTTACAAGCAGCAAAACCACAACAACAACATGGCCAGCAGGTTCAAAAATTGAGTTGAAAATAAACGGTAAAGCTTGATAAATAAGCGACTTGGCACATCCAGTTAGGAGATTTCTTCTTCTGCAGAAATTGGACTAAAGTTTCTTTTTGATACGGTTTCAACTCCCTAATGCCAAACGTTTTAGACATCATGGCACTTAACCTTTTGTAGTCTGCTAGCTTGTCCTGAGTAATATTTTAAATAACAAACACAAGTTTACCCAAAGTTGGAAAATGGACTTTGATTGGTCCTTATCTACCAACGGAAGTGGCAGCTCATTTCAGCAAATGTTCATGGGACAGGAACACATGACAAACCCCTAGAAACATCTGCATGAGAGGCTAGTTATAGACCAGCTGCATAAAATAATATTGTGCTCTGCAACATTCATATCCCCCACATAATTTGAGGGTTTATTGGTTTGCAGACCCCTCCACACCCCTTTACTACTACTACAATCCAATCGTACATATAACAATTCACACATACCGTATACATGTACTGGTACCTTCAATCTCCTTAGTGGTTTTTGCTAAAGGTTCTAGCAGCAAAGATAGGATGTACTTCTGTGCCAGTTCAGGGTACTGAGCTAACATCTCTCTGATAATACTTGAAGCAGCTCTGATGAACAATCGACCAACACCAGCATTTTGTCCATGCAACAACTCTAACACCTGTTGACAGGAAAATTTGCAGAATAGTACTATATTTTTAATATCAGGAGAAACATTTTAGTTGTCCAATAAGCCTTTGTCCCTGTCTGTGTACTTATTGTGTTGAGATCACAAGCAGGAAATTGCCAGTATTTTTGTTGATGCTGAACTTTGTCTGATCTAAAACAACCAATCAGATTTGCTCTTATCCACACATAATTATTTTCTTTTTTTTAGCCTGAGGAAGTGTACCAGCCATGAGAATGTTTCATCATATTTCTTACTAATATCAGAATATCCTTAATCAGGAATGATATCAATTTTTCAAGGCATCCACAAAGTAAGATTCCACCAACATATTACAGTTGACTCCTTAAAACTTGAACCCTCACTAACTTGCAGTAATTTTTGCACATGACAAGTCAAAAAAGCAGTGAGCTGCAGTTCGATACATTGAATATATTTCAAACAACCATGTATTATTTATCTTTACTTTTTTTTGTCAAATTAAATACAATGTTTAGCCACGTACTGATTAATCAAGGTTTGTTTAGAATTCCTTCTTCAAAATATAAATATACCTCTTGCTGCCCTTGAAGGGAAGTGTGCATGATACTTGCATTCCTCCCCCCTCCCATTTCCTTACAGCATGTTCATTAGGCATCAGAGATCGAAGAATTCTTCATTTACTACGCAGAATTCTCTGGCTACCGTTTGGTAGCATATGACAATTTTAACTCAGACGTCGGGACTCATTCAAAATATTCTGCTGTGATGTTACACCTTTCTGATCTCCTGCTACTCGAATTCTTAATGAACACCCTGAAATATTTGCTTCGATCTCCCAATAACTTAAACTTGTTTCGAATTCCCTTGAATGTTCAAGTTATTGGGAGTCAACTGTAGTTTCATTTGTCTGCTGCCATTAAATCTGTTGAAAATGCATTTAATGAGGTGCCATCCATATCTAGTTGGTATAGTGTAGGAGAAGCTTCTGTGACTGAACTACTTCTAAGTTTTTAAGACACAAATATTTAGTTTAATCATAACTGTAACATAATTCTCTAATCTGATTGGCTATCAGCAGCTCTGATAATCAGCATTAATATGACAGTGTAAGTGGACACTACACAACATGCCTGGGGAATTGGGCAGAACGAGCCATTGCACACATGCACTTGAATGGCCTTTTTTATGTATGGCAAAAAACTCTCAAAGATCTTGTGTTTTAGTATATCACAAATTTTGTTATAGTTATGATTAATATTATCAGTGACAGAACAGTTATGCGTTTTTGTTAATCACCTCACATGAGTACAGAACGAATTGGACTCCATTCAGTACTATTACCATTATTTATCAACTTATAGTAAAGAAAGACGTTTTGACTGCCCAACAATCATTTTCAAGTTCAGAAGTAACAAATTAGCATGTTCTTAGTATATACAATTGTGAAAGGGTTAATGAGTTACTGACTAAAAAACTCCAAGATATCTACATAGAAACAATGCAAGAAAAATTACAGCATGAATGATAACAGAAACACTAAAACAATAAAAACTATATAAGATATAAATTGAAAAGAATAAATAGCTTTGCACGGATCGAGTCACACTGTTTGTTCAGTTTTGGTTTGAATTCACAAATAATACTAATAATAATAACAATGTTTTATTAAATTAACAGCATTTCCATAAAAAAGTGGCTCTACATCTGCTAATAAAATATAAAATATATAGTATATATTCAGCTAGAAAAAAAACCCATTGCTGACCCACTGATTCAAAAGGATTCTAGGCTTGCACACCTTTATGGCTACCAAGGACCAATAAGAAGAAACTAGTGGTCTATCCAATCCTGTCAGCAACAGGAACTTATGCTACAAACTTGCTAGCTGGCTAGATGAAAACCTAAAACCTTTGTCCATCAACGACTACACTGTTAGTGACATCTTCTCATTTGTTGATGATCTTCATGAGATGAAAATCAACGAACATGACAATTTAGTGTCATACAATCTTTTGTGTCCGTTCACAAATGTACCAGTGGATGAAACAGTCGAAATCCCAGTGGAGAAAGCTTTCAAAGACGCTTTGTTTAACAAGGAATATGACCTTAACATCACAAAAACTGACCTCATAGAGCTGTTAGAGGTTGCTACAAAAAACCAGCATTTTTAATTCTAACTGTTGCGACGGGGGTGCCCTGGCAGAAACTTTTGTGAAAGTCGCATACTTTATTATGCCAACGTCCTAAATTTCCCTCTCTGTCTTCCCATACTCTCTCAATCGGATAAAATAAAGTACGAAAATGTACCTATCTCTATTTTATGAAAAATTTCAAGTATTTAAAAGTCACCATTATAACTAGCAGCTTTAGAGAGTAAGGTGGCACAGTTGGGCCGAGCATTTGCCTCCCAACAATGTGGCCTGGGTTTGAATCCTGGAGGTGACGTCATACTTGGGTCAACATAATTTCGCCTGGGTGTGAAGCGTTTTCAACAAAGAGAAGCTCATTACTTTGAGAAAAATGCAAGATTGTTACATAGGACAGCTAAGAAGTTCAGACGTCTTTGTCAACGTTTTTTACTGGAGGAGGTCAGTGGGTTAGAACCTGGGAGAATAGAGGGCGAGAGGTGGTGTGGGTTTTGAAACGTGATTTCTTGTCGTTTTCGGGATTAAAAAAAATCGTGAATGCAGGAACTTGCTGACGGTAGTTATATTATCCATTATCGCCTTCATTAATAAGATTTTCTTGATAAGCCTACTCAGTACCTTCCCAGCCTTTTTCTGTAATCTCCTCATGGGAAATACGCAAAAATTGATATATTGATTGAACTTCCCGCCTCAAAAGGGTTTACTATAGTGCACTGCAGGCCATGGTTCACGGGAGCAACCTTAATTGAAATAGGTGTATACCAATTTGGTTCAAAAATTACAAGAGCTGGTTAATTTACGCAGTTTGTGCAAGTTTCATCTCTTTGCAATCAGTAACAAAGAAAATAACAGCAACTAAAAACTGCAAAATTACTGGGTGCAAAACGTTAATGATCTCATGCATTCTTTGAAAATTTTGGGGTTTTTCAAAGAGAATTTCTCCGAAACTAATGATTAACAATTATTCCTTGAGCCCGAATGGGCTCTGAGTCAATAGCCCATGAGGCCAAAGGCCAAATGGGCTATTGACTTAGAGGACATAAGTGCGAGAAGAATAATTGTTTTAGTAAAATCCAACTAGTTGGTCAAAAATATCGAGAATAAAAAAAAATTAAGCTAGTTAAAGCTAGACTTTAACCCTTAAAAGCCCGCGCTTTTCGCTACTAGTAGGCTATAACATATAGCCTAGTAGTAGCTCAGCCAATCAGAACGCAGCATCGATAATAGACCAGAATATGACCTTAACATCACAAAAACTGACCTCATAGAGCTGTTAGAGGTTGCTACAAAAAACCAGCATTTTTAATTCGTAGAAAATTTGTACGAACAAGTGGACGGGGTTGCTATGGGCTCTCCTCTCGGGCTGCTCATGGCAAATGCATTTATGTGCAATATCGAAGAACAATTGACAAACCAAAACAAGATGCCTGCTTTCTATAACCGCTTTGTCAATGACACCCTCAGCAAAATGGCCAATGTTTCATCTGTCTCTGAATTCTTGTCGACAGAATGAAATGCACCCCTCACTCACTCTCATAATGGAACTCAAAGACAACAGCAAGCTTCCCTTTCTTGGAATGGTGATTATTAGTAATGGCTCCGGACAAAACATGAAGGTCTACGTGAAACCAACCGTTATTGGGCTTTTAGTGCATAACGAAAGCCATGTTGATGTCAAGTACAAACATTCTCTGTTGAAGACATTATGTTAAACTGGGTACTTAAACTCTCTTCAAATTGGCAGTTTTTCCATCAGGAATGTGAATGTCTTAAAAAGGTCTCTGCTCGCTTGCAATTATCCTGAAACCCTCGTAGAGAACACCATCAGACACTTCATTGAAATGAAGATTACTGAGAATGCATGCTCTAAACAATTATGGGTATCTGATGAACACGATGCTCAATTCAGAATTGTCTTACTTTCAAAGACCAGAAATCAGTGAATGTACTAAGACACCAACTCAGTGACCTCAGTTGAAAGATTGATGCTGATGTCCAGCCTGTTTATACAAGTCAGAAGATCAAAGGAAAAATCAAACCAAAGGAACATGAACTCCAATTGTGAATCAACAAAACGTTGCTTATTATTTCAAGTGTGGTCACACTGTGTGATGCAGACTAAGTTGGCTTCATGAGTCAACACTTACATCAACGTGTGGAGGAACACAAGCGATAAACAATCGGCAACCACATAAAGGATGAGTATGGAAAGGATCTGGAGACAGTTACAAGCAATTTCAAAATCTTAAAAAAGTGTCAGAGCAAACTCAACTGCTTGACCTCTGAAATGCTCTTTATTCATGAACTCAAACCAAAACTAAACAAAGAGTGTGACTCAATCCACGCGAAGCTATTTATTTTATGATTACAGTGAAACCTCTATTAAGCAGACACCTTTGGGACCTTCCCAAGTGTCTGCTTAACAGAGGGTGTCCGCTTAATGGAGGTTGTAAAAGTTGCGCAATGTTTGTTAGTGATCAACATTCAACAGTTACTCTGTACTGTGATAAAGTTGCATGTTATTAAAGAAGCTATCCAGAGTTCAAGTTCATTACCTTTCATTACCAACTTTAATTTGTTTGTAAATACAAAAACATTAACTGACTTCAGTACGCATTTCAAGGACTTAATCCAATACTACTATTGTCAATTGAGTCCAGCGTCCGCTTGATAGAGGTTTTTAACAATATTTATTTTAGTGTCTGCGTCCGCTTAATAGAGGTGTCCGCTGAAAATGGGTTCATTATAAAGGGAAATATAAGACATTAATTTCAGGACCCGGCTTAGTGTTCGCTTAATTGGGGGTCCGCTTAACAGAGGTTTCACTGTAAATTATTTCACTTTAAAATATCCTTTATTGTTTTTATCATTTTAGTGTTTCTGTTATCATTTATGATGTAATTTTTCTTGCATTGTTTCCATGTAAATATTTTAGAGTTTTTTAGTCAGTAGCTCATTAGCCCTTTGACAATTATTGTATATAAGCACATGCTAATTTTTTACTTCTGAACTTGAAAATGACTGCTGGTTTGTCGAAACTTTGTCTTTTTTTTAAACGTTAATTTTTATAGTGAAATCTGTTAGGAAAGATTTGTTTAATAGTTGATTAGGTCATTGTAATTCAGTCTGTAAAAAGATTGCTTCTTTTTAAAATGGTTAATTGACTTTACTAACTCAAAGATATCTTTAATCTGCAGTTTAGATATATTGATCACTTAATTCATATATTTAAAGTCAAACTTTATCAACTCAGTTGATAAAACCACATTTTTATCCTTCACTCCAAAACCAATGCCCCATCAATGTCACACCACAGCTTCTTTGAAAACTACCCCTAGTTCATTTACCCGATTAAGCCCCAACATCAAAATACAAATTCTCCAAACTGATCTCCCTACATTTCTTTTATGAATTAGTTTGAAGAATTTGATAAAAGATCAAAGCATTTTCCTTTGGTGATCATTTTACTAATTCTCACACTTTTTCTCTTAATAATGCATCTGATATCGGTTACTCCTGGGACTTAAAAGGTTAAGTGTTTAAAAACCACCTCACCTGTGACGATACTAACTGGTAGTATTGTTCAACGGATTCCGCCTTACTTGGACAGTTAGCAATCACCTTAGCAATAACATCGCACTTCTGCCAATCAGGTGAATCAGCTTGTCCTGAAATTATCAAAGACAACTAAGCAGATGACAGAGAGATCAAACACAACAGACCTTACCACGGTTTTGGGAGCCATCTTGATGGGTAGGCAACCATGTGAGAAATTACAGTGTTTATATGAGAATCTAATGTCGAATAATTTGCGTAAAAAAACTGATCTGAAAAAAAATATGAATTGTAAACTAAAGCTTCATTCCTAAGGATTCTACCGAAAAAACTTGAGGGTGTTACCTGCACTAGAACCACTTTTTAAAATTTTTTTATACATTTGTCTGTAAAATGTTTTTTTCCTGCATACTAATATTTTTCAGGAAAATTGCAAACAAATATATGTACTGGCACATGGAAAATCTAATAAAAGCAACAGTGTAGAAATTTAAGCACAGGTACAGCCTCCAAAATTTGTTAGTAGAATCCTTTGCTGCATAGCTTTGCTTTACAATTCCTACTTTCTTCAGAACAGTCGTTTCAAGAAAGTTTTTGGACGTTATTCGCTTACAAACACTGTTATTTTTCACGCGGTTGCCTACCTGACAAGATCGCTTCCAAAACCGTGATAAGGTCTATGAGCAATTAACATGACTTGAGTTAGTTTGTTGATTTAATTTGGCACCGGGATCACCTGGACAAAGTTGACAAATAGGATTACAGGAAAATAACAATAAATTCCAAGAAAGTTGGTTGTGGGCTAATCAGCAGCTCATAAGAAAACAATATGTTACTCGAAACACAAAAATTAAATATTGATAGCAAATGTTTTTCAAGAAAGCGAAATGTTTCACCCGACAATGTTTTTCTATTTGAAACTTTACATATAACACCCAGGAGACATATTTGTTTGACACAAGCTGTTATTTTGTTATCTACCAGCAATTTCTCCATTACCATTGCCACATTTTGCAATAACTAGTGACCTCAAGTCGTTGTTGATTTCATGTCATGGTAATTATGAGATTGACAACTAGCTTTCTCGGAATGTACTGTTATTTTCCTGTCATCCAATTGGTCGACTTTGTCTAGGTTGCCTCGGTTATAGCAACGCACAGTAATAAAACAATAACACTTATTACAAAAGTTGATTATCAGCATTGACAACCTGCCAATCCTTCAAGAAATCCATGTAAAACTGCTTTGACTCCATTTGGTTTCATTAGCCTTTCAGAAAGAAGCTGTCCACAAATATTTGTCATCCACTTGGGAGTCTGTGACAATGACACTGATTGTTTCGTTCCCCCTGTTTTCTTGTTTTCTCCTGAAGTACTTGATCTCTCATTATCTTTAACAGATTGTTTGCTAGCATGTGCTCGACTCCCTTGAAGTAGCAGAAGTTCTTGTATTACTATTGGTTGATAGACACGATCAAGAATTCTCTCCAGATTGCAGATGCACTTCTCTCTTTCAACAGAAGTTATAAATAATCCACCATCCAATTCAACAGATTTGCATGACACTTTACATGCATCATATGGGTGTAGCTGGACACTAGAATTACTATTTGGAATTGGTAATACTGCCTCTGAGTCACGAATTTCCACACTTTTCTGACTGTCATCTAACAGCCCAGTATCCTCAGCTGAACGTCTGTTTACTTCACCACATGTTGAACCGCTTATGTTGCTGTTAGTGTCATTATTAGCATTTGAATAAGCTGACACAGGTGCATAACAAATCTGTATTAAACCAGACAAAATGTCTCCCAAATGTCTGGATAAAACAAGAGAACCCAGTGAAGGCTGTGCTACACAGTCAACCAGTGTATCTATGCATTCAAATAGACGTCGTTCACTCTTAATCGTAAACTGAATGTTTAGTACACTGGCAAATCCTGAACGCTTTTCCAGTGGCATTCCGACACCTGGAAGAAGATTAGGCGAAATGCCTAAAATTACCACAAACTGGAGAGCTGTTAGCACGGTTTTTTGATCCCCAACACTTAACGAATCTGCAGGCAAACGAGGTGCATCATTACCACCTTTGCCATGAGCTGACTCCTCTCCACTTCCCTCGCCTTCCCTTTTCAGTTCAATCAAGGATTCTTTCAGAAGTTTAAGAAGTTCAAGGCAAGTTTTAACATAACACCACCTTAGAGAATCTTTGTCTCGCGTTACAGCTGTCTTGTCTAGCTTACATTCCTCTTCGTGGTTGCCTTTTGTTGATTTGTCTTTCGTGCAAACCTCTCTGTTTGCATCTGCAATCGCACCATCAGATTTCACGTGCGCATTTATTTGACTTTCCAAGTCCTCTTGTAAGTGTAAAAATCGGCCTTTTTCGACAACAGAGTTTCTCAGTTGCTCTATATTTGATAAAAGAACTTGATCAAATTCCGTCCTCTTTCGTGGCGATGAGGCAGGATTCGATGGGCTTGAGGTTAAGTCTCGTAAGAAGGAGAGCACTTCTTGGTAAGGCGCCATCTTGAAACTCGTTGCTTTGTGAGTGTAAGACGCACGAAATATCGTTTGCCACTGACCATATGACAACAAGACGCTACGGAGCGTACACTTCGGCGTCGTGGTTGTGGAACTAATTAATTGTAAATGCGGAGGAATAGTCAGAAATCAAATATGGTAAGAGTAAGGTGTTAATTTGTGAAATTATGGGATTTGTCAGGATTTTCTGAAAAGAGCAACATCCAAGAGGCCTACTTGCCAAAAACTAGCATTTCGGGACAAATTGTCTCCGAGATATTAGCCCAGTTATGCTCTGATGACTCCATACAAATCCTTGTAAAAAAACAATTCTCTATTTTTCTTAGTCACATCAGGCTTCAAAAACAGCATAGCAGTCTCATGTACTGATTAAAGATATGTAAGGCATGGGTAAGGAGTCAATTACGTTGAGCATGGAATTGGCTGAAACTCAAAGTCACGAGTTCGAATGTTTTGAGGATAATTATTCACTGACTATCAGCACGCAGGGATGTCGGATTAACACAAGGAAGTTTAACACCGAAGGAACATAGCCTTTACAGAGCTTTAAAACACAGCATCCACTAACACAAACTTGACTTGAACTTTGAGTAAAACTAAACAGCCTCTACCAATAATAACAAACTCTCACTTGAACTTCAGATATCTTACGGCTTCCGCGAACTTGTAAACACAATACCTGAAAATCGACCTTCGTCACACTTGACTAAACACAGCACTCCAGCTCGTGGGAAAAAACTTAGTTCTTCAAAAGAACTCGCTTGGAACTTGTATACCGTTTGACATAAGGTTCTAGAAAATACTAAACAGCAGGCGAATAGTAGTAGCTTTTCGACATATTTTATGATTTCAGTAACTGATGCAAATCTGCTGACTCATGCTGAAATGCTAAACATGCCCTAATTAATTATTCATGGATAATCCAAAAACGTAGAGAACGTTCGAGAAAGTCACGCAACGCATGAAAGCAGTTTTACTACGTAACACTCAACAAAGACAAAATGTCTTTTTGCAGCATTTTGTAACTTTAAATTCATCATAAAACAGTTCGAAAGGAGGGCTCACTCGTGAAATGTTTTTCAACACTCGAAGAGAAATTTCGTGTCTCTGCGCGGCCAAGAAATATCCTCTATTTATTCCTCGAGTAATTAAAGACTAAACTCGAAGTGATCTCAAGATATCACGAAGTAGTCCGGTCTCATTTCGTGAAATAGTTGAAACAAGCCGAAAAGTCACGAACTTGCACGCCCAATCTTGTCCCGAAACTAGTGCATCATTTCATAACAATTTTTCATATCCCAAACTACCTCGGGTCGCAGTAGCGCAATCGGCTTATCCCTCAACTTAGAGTCTCCTCTGATCTGACGGGTCACACAGGTGAGTCGGTTCAAACCCCGGGAAAGCCAAAATAATAATTCTTTCTTCCTCGAAAAAGTTAAAGAATAAATCAAAGAAATCGAAGTGATCTCGAGATATCTCGAATTAATTCGGCTCTCACTTCGTCAAATAGCCGAATAAAACCGAAAACCTACAGACTTTGCATGCCCAATCCTGTCAAAAAATTGTAACTTTGATACATTCCTGAGCGTCGCGAAACCTTTACTTCGCGCTTCGCCGAAGTAATAACCGACGAGAGTGATGAAGGTAAGCGCGAAGCGAACGAGGTGTGCTCACCTTCGCTCGCCTGAAAGAACCGAAGAAATAACGCCTGTTATGCAGGCTACTCTGTCTGTGTCTTCCCCCACCTTTTTTTTTTAATTGTGGGATTGTGCTAAAAAGCCGAGGGCCTAGAAGGGGACTCGGCATGGCAGCTAACATTAAATTTTTAGGCCAAAAAAAGGAGGCAACAGAACTTCGTTTTGAGTTATGAGTAGACTGCAAAAGAGTCGGTTTTTCACTGTTTCTTTCTCTCAGGACTCGCATTCCAGAGGGTGTTTCCAACAGGTTTCACTGTTGCAATGGTAACTTATGACGTCAAGGAAATGAACACATAAGGCATCAACTGTAAAAACAAAGTGGGAGTAGTATTGTTCCACAAAAGTAGAAGTCATCTGAGAAGTTCTGACAAATGCTAGAAACTAAGGCCAGCCTAACGGATCCACCCTTCCCACCCTCATTCCTCTCCCAACCGACTCTTGTATACCAAGCAGGCTCTCTAACATTTACCATGGACCAAAGCCGGACTCGGCGTTAAACACTTATCGCATCAGCTCCACGTTTTCGGTTACTCGCACGGAAAATCGCATATAAATAGCGTTCGAGAGCGATTCCTTTCCGTAAACTTCAAAGCCTTTTATTTTAATTGACAAGCTGGACTGGTTCAATTTCTCAGTTAAGGTAGGTAGGGTGGCCGAGCAGGTCAGAGTACTGGACTGGCAATGTGGAATCTCCGATCGCCCTGACCGCTGACCGGATTTGCTTTCGGCAGCCCCGAGTTGAACTCCTAAAACAACAACTATAAACTGCCGGCCAGTGATTTGCTCGGCATCACAAACTCTCTTTGCTGAGGCGCTCATGGAGGTTCCCAACGGTACACAAAGTTGACCTAACCACTGTCCCGGTAGCCTGAAAAAACTGAGCTGACAATGGTTTGGCGACGCTACCACTGGTTTCCCCGCCAACCAGTGGTAGCGTCGCCAAATGTCGGCTGTTTTCTCAGGCCTGATTATCCCGGGGAAACTCTTCATGTACTCTTGCTCAAAACTGATGGGGATTATCCTCGGAAAATTAGAATTAAACCCCAAGAGGAAACCTGTCTGGGTGTATGGCTTAGGCTTTATGTAACTCCTATAGGATACCATTACTACCAAAAGAGCGTTGTTCTTTACAGTGATCGTTTCTTGGTACTGCCGCCCTCGTTGTTGTTATATCTTAACCAAAAAGCCTTTTAAGTTAGTTGGTTAAAAAACATGGAGCACTATTTGTGTAGCGTTTCTTGGCACATTAACAAAGAAATCCAAAGTAACATTCAACGAAGCCAGATCCTCTTAATCCGTATTTAAGAGTTCGCAAAATTATTCTTTCTACGACATCATCGGGAAATTCCTCTGGTTTCAACCCCGAGGTTTTCTCCCAAACCCTGTGTGGAGGCGAAATCTTTTACGTCAGCAACTTTACGAGTTGCCAGATGACATCTACCCCCCTGCCCACCTCCCTCATAAACGCGGGTTAGAAACCAATCACAATTCGAGCCTTAAGAGGGTTAGGTAGGTAAAACCTAGAATCGTACTGATAGTCAGCGGTATCAAACGCATGTCATATAAAAGGTTTGGTGTTAGTCTAAGTGTTGAAGGCAGGGGTGAAGGTCACCTGTTTTGTTTTCACTGCAGAGAACCGTTATGCATCGGTCAATTCCAATTTCATTAATCGCACAGTCGAATAGTGCCGTTTTAAGCACTTTAATGTGCGATTTTTTGTTTCAATTAACGTCTTCCTTTGTAATAGCGCTAGGATTCTAATTAAGACTTCACGCCGCGACGACATGCACCAGTTTATAATTTTAGTATTGATGTAAAATTATTGATATTAAAATTAATAGAGCGCTGTAAAGTTATATATTATGAATAGTTTTATAAATATGAAAGGATATTTTTCAAATAATATCAACAGAACTTTGATTCAATAACAAAAAAACGTTGATTCACGTCGATAGCTCCCGATTTCGCTATGTAATTCTGGCTTGATAAGCAATGAAGAAATGCATGCATAAAATCAAGAACATGCCTTTACAACCTCTTCAATTTTTTTTCTGTCCATGACAGATGAGCCAATCTGTTCTCTTTCCCAGTAAAATCATTTGTGTAGTTATATTCTGATAGGAAACCGCGTGCGTGACAAAAGCTCGGGAGTGGCCCTGGGGTTGGCAAATGCCCGGTCCACGGGCAGCACAAAATTTGCAAATGCCCCACCCCCAGGACTGACAATGCCGGCAAATGCCCCGCAGTAGCCCGAAGGAGGCGGGGGGCTGGGCGCAGCTGGAATTGACTGATGCATCATTTTTCTACTAACTGTATGTTATATTGTCCTTGTTTGCTTTTACTAAACGTATTTTTGAAAAATAGTTGCTTTCTAAAAACGTTTTTTAAAACGTTTATTTAAAAATATTAATGTTACACTATTGTGACGATAGGTTTTGCCCTTCCAAGCACAAATCGGGGAATTAAACGTAAAGAGAACTCGAGTGACTTCGGCGTAAGAACAACAAGGGGGAAAACTAACTCTGCAACTCGCTTGGCTAGCGGGAAAGGAACTCGTCACTATTCCAAGGTACTAGGATCTGCTACAACTGGAAACAGGACAGGACTCAAGCTTGGACTTCAACAGTTTAATCTTCAGCTCGTCAGCGTAAATCATACAGTCAAATAAATCCGCAATGTAAAATCGTACAAGCATATCACTTCGCAATGTAAATCGTACAAGCATGTACAACCTTAATATAAATCGTACAAGCATGTAAATCCGGCCAGCAATGTAAATCGAAAAAAAGTGATAACAGTGCTCCATTTATACTAACCGATCAACTTATTACAACATCACAGAACAAATGGAAAGAAGGCTGAATAAAATCAGCTGAACAGCAAAAACAAATGTGGATAAATTCATCTTTAAAGTTCATATGTTAAACTAAATAACTCAAAATTAAATGTCAGTCAAGCAAGTGAATTTAGGAAATTTACAAAGAAAGCTGTGTAAAAGAATTAGAATTTCCTTTGCTCAGGATTCCCTAAAATGTCAAAACTAAAAACTGCGAACGGTTGGTATTTAAACAGGCGAAAGGTCCAGTTATTCAGTGACTAAGCTGTATATCTATTCAGAAACAAATTATCCTTTTAAAAGTAAACATTGAAGTAAAATGTGTATAATTTAAGGGA